TAACGTTGAGTAATGTTTCGTTTTGAACCGAAGTGTTCGTTTGCCCTAGTAAGGCTTTAGTACTTAAAAGTAGCGGATTGCGATCCACTACACTAGTACTGGTGCTTGGAGCGAATGTAAGGAAGGTGACCTCAGCTTCCTCTAAGCAAAGAGCTACAGCAGCCCGCTGCACTTGGTAGCACTAGCAGTTAAACTACGCCTGTACTCCTATGTGCTCTAGGGCATGCAGGACGGGCTTAATGAGCTGATATCCCTGTTGGGCCCAGAGAGCGTGGAGCACCTAGTTGCGCAAGGGTCCGAGGCCATAAGCGCGCCTAAAGGTGTTTTCAGACTATAAATATGCTCTGCTAGAGCACAAACAGCAAAAGTTGTCAGCGTCGACAGCGTCCATGACGCCACCGTCGACGACGGACGATTCCTTCCAGCCAAGGTCGCTCATGGTGAGCGTTAAGAATTTTGAGAGTAAGGATGGAGAGAATCTCCTTCTCTGTTTGAGAGAAGCCGAGACAGCTTTGGCATCTGCCACGTTCCAAAACGAGCAACAGCGTGTGGCGCTAGCTATCTGCAAGCTCGGGAACCGAGCACAATAATGGGCACTAACGTGTGGTGTTTCGGTTGAAGCTGCGTTCCCCTTCTGTGAGTGTTCTCGTCGCCTAATCAGGTATATCGTGTGAGTTCGCGTTTTCTTGCTACTCAACAGGGCAAGAAGGAATAAGTGGACTATGTCTAAGCGTTGAGAGCTCTTATTGCCGGGCTAGCAGCAAATTCTCCATGAGGCGATCGCAGTGACTGCTTTTATGAACGGCTTCCGCACTGGTATAGCCAAAATGGAAGTCTTCCGTGTGCGTCCGTCTTCTTTTTAATTAGCGGTGAACGTGGCATTTGATGCCGGATTCAACTTCAAGTCGGCATGACTTGGTTGGAATGCACACCTTAGAGCTCGTCAAGCGGACCTGAAGCAATGGATCTCAACAGTCTTGAGAAAGAGGGGGCAAAGCTCCGAGCTGCTAAGCAGCGTGAAAACTTCCGATGTTGTTTTGTCTGTGGAGACACTTGTCACCTTCGGACGGGCTGTCTTTTGCGTAAGGCGCGTAATGGTTCGTCGAACCGACGCCCTGCTTCTAACCAGCCTGATTTGTCGCGGGGAAACGCGAGAACCCAGTAGGCGCGCAGGCCCTACTCGGGAGATGTTGAGCCTCAAAGAGGTAGAAAGCAGCATGGCCCAGCCCCAAAGAGCTCTGTGGTCCTGAAATCGGAACGTGTTAGCACGTCGGGCTTGCTGGTCCTAAAAACGACCGTAGAAGGCTTTGATAAGCCATGGATTGATTGGAAGTCGAAGACCTTGGGCACTACGCACACGTCTTCTGGTAGAGCTTTGGGAGTCATGAACCCACATCTGCTAGGGAGCAGAAGCGCTATTGGCACGGGCACTGGACTGGGACGGTCAATGTCCGAGTATCCGACCTGTCAAAACACCGAAGGTGTATTGGCCGAGAGTCCTGAGCGTTGCTCGCGGGTTGAACATAAGTGGTACGCAGCCCGCTGAACACTGCTCAAGTATTGTAGCAATCGCTGCATGCCAAGAGTGGCATGGTCAGCTAAGGGCTGAGGCGTCAAGGGCGAGACTCTTGTTATGCTCGTGGAGTGATACGTAAACCACTGAGAACTACTCACGTTTTAAAGCAGTTGCTACATGCCACGAGTGGCATGGTCAGACGAGGTCCAAGGCATCCTGGGCAAGACCCTTTTGAATCGCGTAGAGTGGTACGTTGTCCGCTGAACGAAGGCTGTGGAAATAGCAGCTCTTCGTCAGATTTTGTTAATAACGTCAAGTCTCCGATGAAGCAGGGAGTGGGGGCACTGAACGACGTCGAGTGAGTGTTCCCACTGGTCTCGATGAGACGTGAAATCTTTCTAGAGAGAAGACGGTGAAGCCGTATGATATCTGCAAGACGCATGGCGTCGAGCCTGACACAGGGCGTGTCTGCCATAGATGATAGCGCACAGCTATATACTCTTGTTATCGGTATGACGGGAGAGGAAGACGGCAATGTTACCCTCGAGGATATTTCCGCGGTGAGTGCTCTTTTTGAGCTGGACGAGATCTCCATCGAAGAGTTTCGCGGCCCCTTGTAAGCAGGCAATTTAGCCAAGGTGGTCATTATAAGATCGACCGAGGAGATTAACTCGTCGTCGCTTATGGATGAAGCTGTCCTGGAGGACACCAAGAGGGTGCTGGGCGCACAAAGTGGATCGTCGATCCTGAAAAATTCCTCGGTTCCGTATTATCCTCCGGTGAAGGAGGTCAAGACGTCGTCTCCAAAGGCCCGCCGTCGATCCTACCTCTGGACCGAGGTGTGCGTCATGAGATTGACCTGCTTCTGGGAACCAAATACTGCGTAACACGTCAATAAACGCTGCTCAAAGAGTAGTGTGACGTCATTGACGCCTTTTTCCGTGCGAAGCACGAGGCAGGAATGGTGCGTGAGAGCAAGTCTTCCCATTTGACACCCACATTTTGCGTCCGGAAGCCAAATGACAAGTGGCGTATCGTTCACTCTTGCAATTTGTTAAACGCTGCCACAATTCTGGCATCGACACTAATTTTTAGGAAGGATGTCCTCCAGAACAATATGGTTGGCTGTACAAAGCACAGCGCACTAGATTTGGTCAATATAGATAACCAATTGCTCATGAGAGAGAGTGATATTCCGCTGACACGATGAAATATCCTTAATATCACGGAATACCTCACCGAGGGCACACCAAGTAATCTTTACTACGTCAGTTATGCTGACAGAACGAGTGAAAAAGTATGGAAATCAAGGATATTCAAATTACATAGGAATCACAAGACCAGACCTTCGCATTACGTCTAACAGCACCAGTGTCACAACTGCACCACACCGGCGCTACGCTTGACCCAGCAGATCTACCTTTTAATCCAGACATAGCATCGTATTGTCCATGGGACCGCGCAGCTCGTCAGTTCGTTTTCTACTCGACGACTTCCTCCAGTAAATTACCTTGGTTGGCACCTATGGCTAGCACCACAAATTATTTGTAAACTCATAAGATTAATAATAAAAGCTTCTTTAAACAAGATGCGTACCCGTTTGCACCGATGAATCAAGATGAAGTTAGCATTCCGAATCGAAGCTGTGTAGAACAATCTCCTACGTCATGTAAAAATCTCCTTGCCGGATCGGGTGTCCCGTAAATTTGACAGGATTATACTTCAAGGAGTGCTCTTATTAAGTTTGGCGACTCCCGATCTGCTCAAATTGAATTGAAATTATTTCGAATCACTGCCATACCCGCGGCAAAATCACCGCAATGCATTTTCTAACAGGATGGTCCATTTTTGCCTAGTAATTTTTGAGCTAGAATACAAACCTGATCTGCCTAATGTGATGACAGACGTGCTTTTATATTTGCTGGACAATATCAATCATCGTCAAAGTCACCCCAATGGTGACCAGTTTCATGAAACAGACGCTACTTGTATTGTGTCAGTGAAAGCTGTAAGAAAGATTTATGTTTTGAGCTCAAATTTTGTTTAATTATGGCGTTTGAATAATCTTTTATGCCGCTTTTCTTCGTTGTCTCAAAAGCTGCTTTGAATCAGCTTAAGACGCAAGGCGGGGTTATACCTCTCGATGAGGACCGCAGGTACAGAGCCATGGTGGATAAGAATCTAGATAAAGGAATCAGGCAAAAAAAGTCGTATTGATCAAAGAGAGCTATATACCGACGGCCTGCGATGTACAAATGGCACTAATGTGCGCGCCTGCGAAACCTATCGTATAATAAAATTCTCGGCGATTCGCCACTTGCCGTTCGGCTTCCGGATACAAAAATGGGTGTTGAATGGGAGGACTTGCTCTCATGCACCATTCTTGCGTCGTGCTTCGCACGGAAGAAGGCGTCACTGACGTCACACTGTTCTTTGGGCAGGAGTCATTGGTGAGATACGCAGTCATGCTTATTGACCTTGAAATGCTGGCAATCCATCCATATGGAATTGTCGAGGTCTTACGTTAGAAAGCGTCCGGAAATACCAGCATTGTAGCCTTGAAAAATGATCAAATTGTTTGTCTAACTTCTGTCGGCAGTTTTGACATTGGCGAAGATACATCAAACCTTTTTCTCCTTCTAGAAACAATGTGGCCTACATTGGTCCCCTGTCACAATTTGTTTGATTCACCTCCTTTTTAAATCCACATTCCAACAGATTGTGCTTATAGTGCTTAACAATAGATTAGACGTAAAACAGCAGTTCATCCATCGACTTTTCAAGCAAAAGGCTAAATGCCAAATTGTTAAGTGCGGAAGGACTGATTCACATGCCCATCCCTTAATATTGTATTAAAGACGCAGTTTATGTATTATAGGCTTCGCACTATGCTCATGCATAGTCCCGTTATTCCACGCCTCTACAAGGTATTTTCGTTCTTGTTTACGGTTATGGTTAAGATAGTCATACTACTTGTTCTGCTAGAGTCAGATTGGCCGCACTTCGTCGTAAAATTAATAAACTTCTTCTGCAAAAGATCGCGAGTTATGCGCCAAATGTGCAATGCTAAAGAATTCCCGCTTCCACAATACTATACCTTTCAGTGAGCGACATTGTAACCTCTCAAACAGGTAAAACACATTTCTAGTTCAATGTGATGTGATCTATGTCAAAATAAAACAGAATCCTGCTCTAAATAGTCATGTAAAAATAGAGGGTATTACTACATCTTATGTAACGGGGTTACATGTACATTTGTATGAAAGGTTGGGTCACACAAGAGACCGTACAAAGGTGTGGATTACAAAAGTCAATATAATTATACAATGGGTAGCTACACCCAAACAAGAAGTCTTTACGTAGCGGGACTGCCAGTACTTCTCATATTAATCAGGTTTTACTATTTTAATTGGGTATTACTATAGTAATGAGAAAAACCTAAGCTTTTAGATATAAGCGGCTCTGCCGCAAATGAAACAATTGAATAAGTTTTAATTTTGAGCAGAAGAGCGTCGTTACCTTGGCTAAGGTTTTAAGTACTCTTGGAGGCAGCGGATTGCGATTTGCTGCACTCGTACTGGTTCTTGTATAGAACGAATGGTCGATGACCTTAGCTTAGTTTTGTATAAGGAAAGAGCTACGGTAGCCCTGCTGCATCTTACCTGGCCCTTGAGGCTAAGCTACTTTTGCTTCCGTGACTTCAATCCTGGAGATAGGGTTGTCGACACGATTCAACTTACTGCTATCAGCTGGATTCACTTTGTTGCAGGATTGAGCATTCCGTCTCAAGGAAATTGAGTCGTATGCAACAAGTGCGCAACGCGATGGCTGAAGATCGCGATGTGCCAATGGTGTATCAGAGGCAAACGAGATAGATATGAGTTTGTAACGCTGATATCTTACAAGCCCAACCACCCAGATTATTTGTTCTCGCTACATTGACCCAAACAGTTGTAGCCAGAAAGAGATCGAGTAGTACTTTTAACACCAGACGAAGATGCAATCTCGATTAGTATTTGCCCAATCAGTGGTCGGATTTTGAGCTGTTCTCGGTGCTAAGCGCTTGGCGACTGACGTTCTCGACGGCATGCAATAAGACAGTGAAGGCACTTCATCCAGTCAAGTAAAGGGGTCGTGCAGCGTGAAAGCCGTAAGGATACTGAATTTCCCTGATGAACACGGCGAAATGCACTTTGATGTCAAAAGACACGTATCTTGACACACTCGTCAAGGTCAAAGTTTATATGTGGTAAATAGGAGGATCATTCCCTGGACCGAGACCCTCGGAGGTTTAAGGGCTTGCTCCGGCAAGTCTGCCGTGACGTCGTTTGCGCTAAAGTTTGGAAATTTTAGCATACGCTATAACATCGTTGCCTTTTCGAACAGGCGACACAGTCGTACAGTATAACGCGTTTACGGTTTGGCCTTGACCCAGGTTTAACAGTGAAGCGGTATATATATATAAACTGGAGCATGGCTTTGTAATTTTGCCCAGACCGGAATTATGGAAAATTTGCTGTCTCAATGTTGACGTCGCGTTTTATACTTTGAAAAGTCAGGCGTTTCTCTAAAACTCACATGTAAAGCCACAAAATAGTGAAGCAACGAATCTCCCCCATCGAAGACTTAATTATACCACACAAATCTCGTTACGATCGCCAGGTAGCAAATCCGAGGCGCGATTATCAAAGAAAGTGCTGGCTGTGGTCGCTTCTGCTGATTCAGTCGTAAGCAGAACTCCAAAAAAGTTGTTATTTGTGGGGTCAGGAAATACTCACGAAGTGGATGTTACGAACGTGTTCCTCTCTCGACTTAGCTTTAGGTCACATGGACAAAACTATTAGCGGTGCGTTAAACGGCTTCCGGCATAAGCCGTTATCAATCTAATTTTATCGCAGTGGCCTAGTTTACCCCAACTAACCACTTTGGTAAAAAAGACTATACTTTGGCTGTGCACTAAAGCATGCGGTGTGCTCCGTGTCAACCAGTTCTACTACAAAGGCATATCGCAAAGCTTGGATAACTCATTTACCACATGAGAATGTCTGTTTGCAAGCTGAGCTCTTAAAAAAAGGTCCACCTCATACCAACCACATGGTCGAGCTTGTTGCGGAGATACTGACCGCTCTCCCCTCAAAGAAGTGGTCACAGTACGTCTAACCTAAAAAAGGCGATAGTAAACGTGGAGGACGCTGATTGCGTCAAAGAAAGTCTAACCTGGTAGAGAACAACGGCGGCGTATGAAATCGTAGAGGTTATGAGCAGCAATGCTGCCGTAGCTTTTTGCTTGGAGGAAGCTAAGCTTAGGTCACCTACCTTAGTAATACCTAAATTATATAGCAAAATCAAATTAATATAGAAATATGCATTACTACTGGCAATACTGCCACTTAGGGGCTTCTTGTTACGGTGTCGCCACACAACTGTGTTATTTCACTAACTGTGTAATACACACCTATGCACGGTCGCACAATCTTGTGCGATTCCCACTTATTCATAGGAGCACGTGTAACCCCGTCGCACTCTCCCCAATCGAATTGCGAATATCTCCAATTCACATTTAACGATCACCTCATACAAGGCTCACGTGTCTTAGACACCTTAACATTCGTAAAGAACAACTTTACATTCTCCGCTTTATAAACACTGTGTCTACGACAAGCAAAACATCCAGTCTAGCTGGTAGCGAGGGCTCCCGCGGGCAAAGCCCTTCGTCTTCTTCTGCACAGGGTGCATCTCCGGCCCGTTCGTCCGCGGCTACACGGATTTTACATCCG